TCGATACACAACTGGTACATTAATTTAATAATATGGACAAAATGGAACAAAGCCTCTGATTATTTTGGTAAATTTAGTAACAAATATAATCCCTAAACAGCTCATCGCTTTGTATGTTAGCGCTATTAAAAGTAGACAATATTGAACAGTGATCTGAAGTTATCATGCAACTGACAACAATATTATATCTCAAAATACCTGTATATGATGATATTTCACAAATATATCGGATTTCTGGACCAATTTTAACTCAATTCGATCCGCCAATATTAATTTCCGACGTATATGACGGGAAGATTAAATATTAAAGAACTTCGCGAGTATTTGCAGTAGACATACGAAAATACCACCAAAAAATTCCGCTTGATCGATACTATATATTCAGAAATATTCATATAATTTTATTGTTTCTCGCTCAATTTCAAGCGAATTTCTTACCTTGAAATGATCAATGCGGTGAAATTTATGCAAATGACACATTATCAATTTTGCAGTTGCATTTTGAATGTTCCGCCTGATTCAAATGCTCGTCTTTTTGCTTCTTTTCAACGTATAATAATAACAAATATACCAAAAGAATCGCCATCTTCCATTCTATAGCTCGGAGCAGTCTCGGGAAATTGCAAAATAATCTAAGCCTATTATGGCAATTCTCGTGATCGGGAAGTGTTCGGCCAACTTCGGACGCCAAATTCTTGGTAAAGCATTACAGTTTCCTGGTAAAAGACTGCAGGAATCACTTCCGGAGTGTTTGTTTACCCCAGATACGGATTTTGATTGGCTTAGGCAGAAAAACAAATCTTTTAGAGCAATTTTCCTGATTATCGCGCACTGGAACGCACGAGCGTTGAAATGTATTGTGTTGTAGTTTTGTTTGAATCGCATTCTGAAGACGTTTTTGGCTTTATTTTGCAAACTGATAGTGCTAGTAATGATGGAATGTCTTCGTATGAAGACAAGTATCTCAACCTGGCATTGGGAGTCGTGTCTGGAGTTTCAAGGCAAGTATTTGTATCATTTCTAGACAATTTCTATTTCAATGTTTTGCCATTGCCATGGCGTTGTAAATTTATTTGTATTTAGTATAGCTTCACTAGTACGACCAAGTATGTCCTCATATCGCTTTTTTGTGTTGAAATAATCGTTTCATACTGAAATTGACAGATATAAATGGTATTTATTTATATTGTTGACGAAAATTAAGGTGTTTTAGGAATAAAAATCTCTGATTCCTAGGCGAAGTAAAATTGAGCCTTGAGCACATGTTTGGTACATGCATAATAGCCAAGTATTCATACTTATATCTTACTAGTTGGCTCTTATTATAATTTTAAGTGGCACCATGTCTATAAAAGTTTTTATTTGCACTGATGAATATATTGATCCTGTTCCTATCTGCTGTTCCTGTTTCATAGCCTCAGGGAAGTAGAGTTCTGATGAGTCACAAGAAGCCCACTCACCAACCCAGAGGTAAGGTAGGGGGATGAGTAGAGGTAGAGGGAAGCCCAGCCATTAGGACCTAAGGTTTCGAAAGCTCCCTGTCTAGCATCCCCACTAGGCCCCATAGTACATGACGGATATGATGATCCTGACGCTAGGAATGTTCTCCCAGATTTTGCTCCTCACTGACATGTCCGGGATCCATTTCGATCAACTGTGAGCTTGAGTTCATTTGGCTCAATGAACTGTGAGCTTGAGTTCATTCGACTCTTTTTTACTAAAGGAATGCTTCAGGAGGTAGTTTCCTGGCCATACCAATACATATGCCCACATACAAATAACTCAAAAGTTATCCCCATATACTAATAAAGAAGGGTCTTGCAGTCCACCAACCATGAGAGGTTGATTGCCTTTTAGTATAATATGCAGGTTTGCTAAAGGTCGACATGAGATTGAAAATTATTGGAGTGTAAAAACCTTATATCATGGTCTGTGGGCAATAGACATAATTTCTCGGGTTAGGTACAAAGCGCTTATGGCGTTTGTGAATATGGTAGATCCTGTACTAAAGACTACAGCAATAAACTGCATCAACAACTGTACCAGCTGTCACAGAATATTTGTTGTTGCAGACAAACACACTGTCAAATCAAGAAATAGGTTGGGGGTTAGGCAGTTCATGAAAGCTAGATGACCTACTATGTGGGGAATAAATCTGTGGGTTGCTGCAGACAATCCTAATGGTTATATTGTGACTTTGAAATTTATACAGGAAGAAGTCCAGATATTCATCGCAACAGATTTGGGTATGACGTGGTGATCTGATATCAGTTTGGTTACAGTCTTAGGTTTTTTGTAGTACAATATAAAGGAAATATTTTCACCACATAATCCAATTATGTGCTTTGGCAAACATTACTGCTTTAGCAAACATTACTGCCTTGGAAAACATTACTTTTTTATAACTACTAATTATGATGATGCCAGTCCAACAACACTTGGTCAGGCTATTTGCAAATATTTTCATGTTCTAGATTGTGAAAACAATCAATTTCTAAACAAATGAGTAGTGATTATTTCAAATTTGAATAGCATGACCAAATTTTGAGGCTGGTTATGACACTAATAACTAAAGTCAATGGTGTAATGATTATCTAAGAATGTATGTAGTAATTGTAGAAATAAAGACATTTTGCTAATCATGATTTGAGTGTTCTTTTGTGGGTATCACAGACTTATTTTGGTGCCATACTATCTTTGGAGAGTAAGAAATATTGGAAATTTGTATTGATAACATCTTGCAGCGATAAAAAAGGACCTTTGATAGAGGTATTTATTTCATGTGAGGACAAAATGTAAATTTTACTCCACTACCTAGTTTATATAAAAATTCAATAAAAATATTTCTATTTATGCTACGTGCATGAAACTTCGGGTACTTGTAGATCATAACCGTGTCTTTCAGTCATATTCATAAAATTTTTTGACATATTTGAAATTTGAACCGCTAAATACATTTATGCATAATTGCAACATTTTTTATATCATAATTTATGCAAATTTATGCGAGTAAATCGTTAACCAAGCTCCGGATGAAATTGAAATTGGTATCGTTGGAAAACAGAAGTCCTCCTCTTTCGAACGGTGCAATTTCTGTTTCCGTGCGATGTATAGTTTGAGAGATATAAGCGTTTGAAACAACACCACTCGAAATTACTACTTTTCCACCGGATGAGAATGAGTTAAACTTAGCAAGGCAAAAAGTCTCCATTCAAGAATATTTCTTCTTATCAAAAGGTAAAATACTTGATTAAATTGTTTACTTTGACGGTATGTAAATTAACAGCGTTTGACTTGCAAGACGTCAAAAACGGACGATTTCAACGCGCTGTCATTTATCACATATTCATTTGCCCAAAGAAGTATTTACGTCAATTGAAAGCTTGTTTATTAAAGAGCCAACTAGTAGAAGCATGATCGATTTGGAGCTTTATCCCATGGTGAAAATCGGTTTTGTTAAGAGGGTATCGTAAATGAGGTAAGATAGTGTGCTCCAAGACTATGATTATTTCTATTCCTAAAAGTAACTCAGATTTCCTGTAAGTCACGTACCCGGTCCTTTGAATAACCGAAAACAAGATTTTTAGGGTTTTAGATCGATTAGAAACGGTTGTCGTCGTGAAATTTGTCGGTAAAATCAGCGCATATTTTCCCAGACAAAATGGCGATTTAGGGTGGTCGTGTTAAAACGGCATTTTCTCAAAGTTAAAAAAGCATTTGACCTAAAAAAATATATGGTGCATTTTCCGATATAATAAGGTATATCTGGGCAAAATTTGAGCAAAATCGATTTTTCCGTCATGGCTGCCTTATGTTTGATTTTTGTGGACATCCTCTCTTAAAGACAAATTCTCTTGCAATGACTATGAAATCATGCAAGCACGTAGACAGGCAACTGAGTATGAACCTGCGGTAACACCACCGAAGGGCAACAAGTTTGTAACTAAATATAAAATTCCATTTGAAGATTTTGTATTTCTCCTAGATTTTCTCCACCACCCAGATAGTATGGATCCTTTGAATGCTAAGAAGGGTGTTTCTGTACATGGATGTATGTTCTTCTTCCGATCCGAGGCACCTTCAGAAATTCAGATTGAGATTCATGACTTGTTCTCAAATGGGGACTGTACGCAGAACTGTTGTTTTAGTGCCAGTGTATTAGAAGCATCTTTCAAGAATTTTCAAGCTCGCCATCCGAACATCAACATACTTTCGATGTGGTCCGATAATGGGGCCCACTACCACAACATCTCACTTATACTTTGGTTGATGCGTATGTCCGAAATTTGTCCGGTGGAGGTGGACAGGTCTCATTCTTTGAAGCACAGAAAGGAAAAACTGTGTTGGATGGTCATTTTGCCACATTCAAATTTGTACTGAAAGCATGGATGAAGAATGGGAATGATATACAAGTCAGCGAAGACATAACCAAAGGCATAAATGACCATTTGAAAGGCACCCATGTTTATGAAATACAGATCAATCGCACCCAAGAACCGCCAAGTGCTAAAACGTGGGCAGGAATAACAAGTTACAAGTGAGTTTATTTATCACTACGAAAACAACGTTTGTGTAAAGATGGAAGTAAAGGAACAAACAAATCTATCAACAAGCAAAACACTAAAAAGGAGAGGTTGTCAAAGTTATGGCCATCATACCTGTGCTCAGAAAGTATATCAACTGGGGTAACATCACAGTTCGACATAGAGCAATCCCAAACCAAAGTCCCTCGATTTGAAAAAAAGGTAAAGAAAAAATGTAAACCTGAAACAGGAACCACAACACCATCCGGTAAGAAGGAGTCACAATATCCTGAAAGAAAATGTGGTGTATGCTCAAAGTTCTTTTTGCAAAAGGGATCATTAGCTCGGCACACTGGGTGCAAAAGGTGCAAGTGGTCAGAGGAGCCCATGAAGAAACATAACGCCATTGAAGTTGCACTGAAAGCACATGCCACTGCCATCGCATCAAGTATCTGTAACTTGGAGTTGTAAAGAAAAATGCAAAAGGTTGGCACAGATCCGAAGTTGACAATGGCTGCTTGGGAAAATGATGTCAAAGGCAATGCTAGAAAGATCACACATCGAAGAAAAAAAGGAAAGTTCACACAGCAACAGAAAACCATTGTGGAAAAATGCTTTGACGAAGGGGAACAAGACAAGAAAAAGCGGTACACCACTTCATCCTGCCAGAAATTGATGTCAGATAAATTGGGACAGCACTTCACTCTAACAGAAAACCAAATTGCTAGTTATTGGAGCAATTACCGGAAAAGAAAAAGGGAAGGTTCAAAACAAAAACAGAACAAAAAGCAAAAGCTAAATTAGGTGAATGTCTTCCCAGAAATATTTACAAGCATATTAGCCTGCCTCAGAAAAAATTAAGTTTTAAATATGTAAGGTGAAAGGGGGCTGAAATATTTTGTTACAGTATCTCTGCATCTCTACAGTGTATATGGGAGGCGTACAGTTTTGTGTCTTTGATCATCATGACATCATCTGAAATAGTTTTTGGTAGCAGGACTTCATCACTTCAGCTGCCAAAAACTATTTCAGACTATGAAGACACAACATGCTGTGCCTCTTTATCATCCAAAATAGTTTTCAGAAGCAGTCAGCATTCTAGAACAAAATTACAGCAGAAAACCACAGGCCATAAAACGTAATTGATATTGAATATATACTAGTGTATGCCAGAAGCAAAAAAGTGCTTGTAAATATTCCTGGTCTTAACAGAAATGTTATGAATGAGCAAACATTTATACAATAAAAAAGCCATAAAAGAATATAAACTGTTTTAAAATTTGCTTACTATAGTTACAGTAATAACATAGGACCAATCTAGATCAGTTAGTCCAGCTGTAGCGTAAACACACTAGGACTAACCTAAGACAGCATGGGGTATGGGGGTGCACCCCCCCCTAGCCTTGGTCAGGTGGGTGCAAATTTCCATATCAAGTCCAAATGTTGGATTTGCCAGGTTATAAGCAACACAATATTGAGCCATTTGGAAGTCGGTGATGATGTGCCCTACCTCGATTGATGGTTACACCCGGTTTTAAGACTGGCTCCCGTTTACTCCCCCCTAAGACCATGTTTTCAGGGCAAGCATTAGAAGTGGCCTGAAAACATAGTCACTGACCCAAGATGAACTTGAGGCTAACTTCCATGACAATAAACAAAAATTAGAATCTTTGATGTCAGCACTCAATGGATGTCATTTTCTTGTTTGTATAGGTAATCACACAGGAAGGAGTGCAATTAATGATTAACACTACGAGTGATATTTGAAAAATGTGCCAAAATTGCACGAGTTGCAGAGGCAGAGGCGAGTGCAATTTGGCACGTTTTTCAAATATCACTCTGTTTATTGTATGCATGACAAAATCGCTTTCTTTATATTTCAACTGTATTTTGTCAAGAGTTTTTAATTCTTCTGTAAGCAATTTGGTATAAACAAACTTGGGAAATGATTATAAACTCATAAAGGCAACTAGAACACAAGATTCAAACTCAAACGACATATTTTAGACTAAGAAAATCTTTATAAATTGTATTTCAAACTTACATAGTCACGTTTCGCTGCATCCTGCCAAGATTATTTCTTAAGACTGTTTCCAGGTATTTTCCACAGGCTCTTTTTGCCATACAATGTTTCTTAAACTCATTCTTGTGCCAAAATTCAGTTAAATTCGTCCACATTTGTTAGAAATACTTTTCTAAATTTCGCCACCATATTGGATTTTGTTGTTTTGATTTCCCGCTCCCCCCAGCCATCACGAAAATCATTAATTGCACTCCTGGAGAGTGCAATTAATGAAATAATTGCACTGCTCTTAACCAATCAGATTGCAGTAAATTTGTCATGTATATAATAAGTACAGTAATAATTCACTTTGCATGTATATAATGGCCAATTCAATGGGACTTAGGCCTTCAGGTAGGGCCTAAAACCTGGCCAGCTACTTCTCAGGTACAGGTAAATGTCAGTCCCTGGGTGTAGACATGGCTTCAAAGTGAAATTTCTTTTCGGCATTCACTCTCGAATCACTTCAAATTTGAGTTGGATGCAGTTTGCAGAATCAGCATGCATTTCAAGTGTATTTTAAGATTGAGAAATACATCCAGGGCCAGGAAAGCTTATATAAGGTAATATAGCAGAAGGCAAATGTTGCACTATATTAGAGTGATCAGTACAATATGGCTTTTGTTCAAAGTGAAATTCGAATCACTTCAAATTTGAGTTGGATGCAGTTTGCAGAATCAGCATGCATTTCAAGTGTATTTTAAGATTGAGAAATACATTGTCAAATGCATTGTATGTAGCCACGGGTAAGTTCAGAGTATACCCCATTCCTTAGCGTAAACATCGTAGATTTTGGCAATCAAGGCCAATAGGCTTCATAGGTCAAAAGCAAGGTGAAGCACAAATTGCCACAAAATACACATCAACAAATGAAACATGCATGAGGTGATATTGGGTTGGTTTGTGCTTTAAACTTACTGTCAGCCAGTTACAACAATAGCTAAATGGCCAAAACAGGTTGATATTAATTGAATGTTTTTGTCTAAATTGTCTTCACAGACTTAACCACATTTTGCACTTATGCATGTTTAATTTTATAGCCTTATAGGCCTTTTATTGGCAAAATTTTAGAAACTAAGAAACCTACAATCATAAAATATTTTCCAGTTAATTTTCTCCTCTGAGGTAAAATGTATCATCAGTACAACATTCCATATAAATTCAATGTATAATTAATTAAAATATCAAGAATAACTTGACCAGTTTCTTTGACTTTGCTTGAATACATTTCTTTTGAACTGCAAAAAAGGCAGTATATTCATGATGTGCATCCAACATCAGACAAATATTTTCAACCATTAAAAATAAATAATTTTTTTTAATGTTCAATGAACTCGAGTTCTCTCATGACCAGCACTCCAGCAGGCTTTCTAATTTCGAGAGGTCCTGAGGAAAGTTGAAAGGAAAGTCACCAGCTAAAATGATAAATACCGTTTTTAAGGAAAAATCCTTATTACAACGCAGTGATCATTTGGGCATAAAATCTTTCCCAAATGTAATGCTCGATGGGCAAATAGTACAGTAATTTCCTCATTTGCATCGTCATGTCTGCCATGTTTGTTATATATTCTGCCAGGCGCTTCGTTTCCTGCGTCCTCCCCAAGCAACCCTGTGCGCTTGCTCATCTTATCCACTGATCTATACAAAACACTGTAGTGTGCCTATTTTTAGTTAGTTGTGCCTGGGTACGAGGCTGTAATAGCTCATAAATACATACAAATCATTAGGTAATATGCTTTCTTGAGTTTCTAAGCACTTATTCTTATATTTTCACCATTTTTGGGAATCATGCAGCAAAAGTCGGGTGAATCGGTTCCATATAAAACAGACTACTTGTTTGCCCTGCCTGACCAGGCCCTAAAATCATCTGATATTAGACAGAGTAAAATAATAAAGTAGGACTCACTATCGTGCATTGCCTCTTAATGGCTTAACAGTTTGTAAATGTTAACCCAGAAACTACTACGGCTACTATAGACATTCTAGTGAATTTGTACAGTAAAAGTAATCATGCAAAATAAATGCTACTGACCCATTATTATCCAAATGGGGTAATAATCATTTAATTGAGCTTCATTGAATCCAAGATCAAAATATTTTTCTTTAATCTCATGCAACATCAACATTAAATTCTCTTCTTGGGCCACCATAGTCCAATGCAGACCATAAAACAATACCATAAATAATTTTATTAACCTTGACATGACAGGTTATGGTTCACATGTCACGTCTCGAATATCACAGGTCATGTGCCAGATCAAATTAAAGAAAAAGTTACATAGAAACAATCAAACAAACAGAAAATTATGACTTAGCAAATCTCAAATATCACAGGTCATGTGCCAGATCAAATTAAAGAAAAATTTACATAGAAACAATCAAACAAACAGAAAATTGTGACTTAGCAAATAACCTGCTGACCGGTTGTAATGTAGGTCACAGATTTTACTACTTTGTTAGCGCTTTAGCAAAATACATTTCTTATTTAGATTGCGTTCAATCAATTAGCCAGTAGCGTATTTGTTAAAAGTGTTCCTATCAAAGTGGAACAAGGTCTGGGTCGAATCAGTTTTAGCCAACTAGTTTTTATCTGACGTAGAATTTTTTCTTGTATTTTTTAAAACATTTTGTCTAACTTTTTTTAGCTCTAAAATTGTTTATCAGACATTTACTGGTTAGAGAAGGGATCAGTTTATTTTATAAAAATTCACTAATTATAAAACTTTCACCATGGGCACTGACAAAGAATGTCCAGGATGTAGTAAAACCTGTATGTCAAACAGTGATATGTGCCAAAAATTGCCAAAATTGTAAAGATCGTAAATTGTGCCCTATTATGCATAATAAGAGCAAAATTGCATAAATAACAGTTTTAAAACAGACTTAATTTGCTCCCCATCATGAGCAAAATCATCTGGCATTAGACCAACCTTGCAAGTCAGGCTCTCTACTTTCTCTTCCCTCCCTAACATACTCCAGCAGAGACCCTGATTCAGGCTGGTCACCTTAACTCACTTTGTCCCATGGGAGGGTAGGCTGAAGTATGTGAAATGCACAGAACAAGTTCTAGGATTGTTTATTTTGAATATTGTACATTGAATTAATCGAAATGTATGACTTACTTTAGTTGTTTAGATTTTTGTACTGTAAGATGTGCAACCAGAATATAGTATTACTTTTAAAGCTTTTATAGACCAAGAGCGATAGCCGGATAAAAAACAACCGCTTTAGGAACCGTTCATTTTTTATCAAGAGGGGGGCTGGTGGTTTTTACAGGGGGATCACCAGAAAAAATATTGATGTGAAAGGGGGGTCACCAAAACATCAATGAATACATAATATGTGAAAAATCAAAGCAATAAACTTCCGTACTCTTTCACTTATAAAAAAACTCAAAGTTGGCCAAGTAAAGTTTTAGTACATGCATGCAGTCAATTGAAATTACACATACAACAATTAGGAATTTTACATATTTGTGATATTCAGTGCATTTTAAAATGCAATTTATTTTCTTAGGAAAAAACTTAATCTTCATGACTGTTTAGTAAAAGTTACTGGAAGTGACATTGAGTATTACAGTCAAACCAGATGTTCTGTTCCCATGAGTTTTGCAACATTGCAATCAATCTTGCAGTGAACTCTTCTTTTATCTGGAACGATAACATGCAGGACAAACATGAAGCAATGCCACTTCATGCATGCTAATGCCAGCGTGCTGACACACACTGATTTGTCAGACTATGCGGTGACGGCGTATAAGGGGACTGAAAATGACATACTATATGGCGTGGCAATGGACCACATGGTCATGGCATATAAAGGGACTGAAACTGACATACTATGTGGCGTGGAGGGCTGCAATCTAGTGAACTCAGTCTATTTACCTGGAACGCAATAACATTCAGTCATTTGGCAGTTGAAAAGTGAAGCCTTGCATGAGCAATGCACATGTGAACAGTGGCGTCAGCTCTCCATGCCAAATAGTACATCAGTTTCAGTGCCATATTTATATGCCATCATCGTGTGGTCCATGACCATGCCATATAGTATGTCAGTTTCAGTCGCTATATACGCCATCACCGCACGGTCTATTACAAATCAGCGTGCGTCAAGTGGCATTGGCTTTATGTTTGTCACCCTGCATGTTATCATTCCAGATAAAAGACATGGAGAGGGCTGATGCCACTGCTCATGTGAGGCACAGAGTAAGTACATACCAGAGGTCTCAGGTTAATTTAGCATAAGGGATTTTTTTAAAATGTGCCATGTTCTTAGGCAGTTCAGTAAAGAGAAGCCGCCTTTTTACGTATACTGCGCATGTGCAGGTACTGGCTAAGAACATGGCGGCCAAAAAAAAACCACCTTCCTTACGGTTTTCTCGCTGAGATAAGCCTCTGTATGTTACTCTGTGCATGAGGCTTCACTTTTTAACTGCCAAATGACTGAGTGTTATCATTCTAGATAAAGTAAAATAAATTGAGTTCACTGGAAAATTGCTCTGAGCAAATTGTAATCGAAACACACAAGTTGCAACTGTCATTTTCTCAAGTTCCTATCACACCCGTGTTGAGTCAAGACACTGAATAAAAAAATCAAAATGACTAATATCTATGTAAAATTCCTATTAAATGCCATGGTCTCTAATATTATTTTTGCAACATTTCAGGGAGTTACAATTACTAGACATGTCTTTTAAAATAGCGGTAACTGTGCTGGTCGACTTTACTTTTATCTTGATACTGGAAAGGCTTGACAATGATCGTTTTCCTCACAAAAAGTTTTCGATACCTCTTGCATTGTGGTTCCTGACATCAGGTTTGATATTTTTTGATATTGATACAGTTGAACTGGAAGATACATTGTAAGCATGATTGTGGGGACCAATAGTTGGGAAAAGCTTTCACAGCTCATCCTTGACAGACAACTCAGTTTTATTTCCCTTCTCTTCTTCTCTACAATATTTTATTGCATCAATTAACTCAGACAGTTTGTCCAAAACAGATCCCTTTCCTTGGCCCGCCACATTGAAAGCAGAAATATTTGGCGGGAAAATTTATAATTTGTTTCGATAACTGCTGTTTTAAATGCTGGTGCAAACGTAAAGTTAAATTATGAAAATCTGATTAAGTGTGCATCGAGATTTGAGAATCTGATCAAGTTTGAACAAAAATCTTATCAAAATTTGACTGCAGTGGATATTCTCTTGTGTTTAATGATATTTTGTTTCTTCTGATGGTATATTTTTCTTTGGTGATATTCAGAGCTACTTGATATTTTGACGCATTTGGCGCCTCATAGTATACACACATAAAAGTTTAAATCATTTAAAAGTTGGATTGTTTTGAAGTAATTATAAATTAATAAAATGGCAGCATTTAGTTTTTTTGTGTATGATTTAAAGTGTATATATATTTGTTGGGGTAATTAAAAATAATATAAAAAAAGATTTAAACTTTTATGTGCGTATATCAGACCTGTCAAGTGTCACTTTTTTTCACACCATGCTTTCACACACACAAAGCAGGTATTCAAACATTTTTCACACATTTTACTAAAACTGGACCAGATCAGTATGCAACTATCGGTTTTCTCATGCTAGCTGTGGTATCCTATTAATTTTCAAATCAAGGTTAATATATACCATTGGGTTATACTGACCAGACCTGTATTATGAAGAATGTAACTAAGGGAAGAGGCAGCGAGGCACGAGGCAACGCAGCGAGGCACCGCAGCGAGGCACGAGGCAAAGCGGCGAGGCACGTCCAAAACCCGCGAGGCAGTTGTAAGAATGGCGAGGCACGTCCAAAAACCTTGCCAGGTGGCCAAGGGCGTCGATCCGGGGGGGGCAGGACCCCCGACTTTTAATGCCTTTACTATTTTCACGTATGTGGCAATGACTGTAATGTACTATTGCTTGGGTTGTGTAATGTACAGTAACTGAATGTACAGTAACTGTAAGGGCATTGTTGACTGCAGGTCGGACACTTGGCTTGACCTTGGGAGTGTGGATAGGAATTGCTGCAATGTCCACACATTCAATTGGAGTATATATATATAACATCAAGCATCCTTTGCTTGGATAACTTTTCATGATATTTCTTTTACAATTTCTAAAGCTGTGTGAAACCTATGATCTATTTATATACCTATGATAGTAAAACCCTTTCCTCCGGTAAAAAAAAAACTTTCTTCCAGGCAAAATAAAACAGTCGTGTGAAATTACGACAAATACAATTTTGAAGGAAAATTTAAGTGTCAGTTAATAATTAACTAACTGAGCCGCGTTGGCATCCCCCACTTTCTGACATGGATTTCCGCCCTTGCAGGAGGCGGTAAGAATGAGTCCTGCGTACTGAAATCCACGGCCAGTGGTGGCCTGCCCTTAGCCACAGTACTTAAAATTCGTAAACAAAGTCTATGATTAGCAAAACTGAAAGCAAAACCTGCAACTCTGCTAAGATATCTGTATATTTAAGCAATCTTTTTGCGTAGCGGTAAGCCCAAGGGTCTATGTACTTCAAGTAAGTGTGAGCGTACTGATACCACGGTACTTCAAATAACTCAAATAGAAACTGAATAAAAGTTCCTGTATAATGGCCTTGATGCCCTGAAAAATATTGTAATATTCAAGGCCAAACTGGTCTAGCATTTTATTTTCCTGAATTCGAGGCCTGACGAAGCAATAGTAATACTATCGATGCAAAAAGTGAAATATAATATATGCCTATAATGTACTTATAGTATCGCAAGAGTGGAAAGTGGTAGAAAGTGTATTATTGTACATGTCTCATTAAAAAATATCAATATTAAAATTAACAACATTAACAACATCCTGAAACACCGTTGTTACAAAACTGTTTCACTGTTAATTGGCAATACTCATAAAAACAAACACAGTATTCTCAAAGTGAAAACCAATAAATGGACTTAATTTAGATCACCCGATCTAAAGAAGACATTTTTGCTCATATGTCAAATCCGTATCGTACAGTACAGGTACGCCGTCCTCAAATGTTTTGATAAAGGTGTTTCTAGGCAACTTTGATATACACTCTGTTCGAGGACAGAAATAAAATACCCTTTTTATCCAGTTGAGATGCAAAGTTCTGTATGGCCCCTCGGTACTGGCTTGAATGTCACCAAGCGAAAGAGAAGTTTTACATGACGCACACTTTGCCGTCTTCTCAGTTTTCTTAACGCCAACTTTGAAGACTTGATTTTTGGGCATGTAATTACTTATGTCCGTAGTGGGAACACGTTCAGGAAAGGCATCAGTGATTTTCCCCCAATCTGCATTCGTAAAGTTTCGCTGGTATATTAATGGGCATGATTTTTCCATCTTGAAGATCTTGTGGAAAATCCAAACTAAATGATGGCATTTTTTCGTACATCCTGGGCTCGAGCAAGTTATCTCATCCTTACGTATTGTGATACTTTGCAAGTAACCCATGGTGTCTAAGATTTTAAATTCAAACGATGTCATTTCACTTTTGTATTCAATTATATCCATAGAAACGTTTTCCACAGATTTTTCGAAATATCTCTGCTGCGCCTTTTTAGCAACATGTCTTTGGTCTGCTATTGGGTGGTTATGACTAGCCTTTTTTATCTTGTCGGATCTATGGCTATCTCTGATGTTAACCCTGTAGTCCTTCTGTGCCTTACTAATGCTATCCCCAAACTCAGGCATTTGTACAAAAGACTCTGCATTCTCCGCGACATACTGAACTGCATCAGCAGACAATTCCTGATCTCAAATAAAAGATTCTTGATGTTGTTCTGTACGATCGACAACAGAAGGGCCACGTCCCACAGTTTTAAGGCCAATTTGCTGGCGTTCAATTTCGGCAGCCTCAAGTATTGCCGACGAACACTCTGTGGTTACTACGTCAAGAAGCTGTTTACGATAACCGGATGCACGAATTGATTTTGCATTAGCGATTTCTGCTGACGATGCAGTAATTGATGAATCTGTCCTGCACCACCGCTGCCACCTGAGTCGCCGCCTCCACCACCACTGCTTGAAGTTTTCCATTTTCTTCCTTTCTGTTGCCTTTTCCGCGATGAGTTTATCTAAAGCTTTTTCCGCTACCTGGGCTTGGGCTGATGTAAGAGCATCCATTGCATCGGTCATCAACGTGCTGAATTTCTTCTTGTCACGTGCTTCCGCAAAATATTTTAAATGACGATGGATGTCTTGTTTAACATGGAACGTATCGGAAATGGTTTTATTTTTTACATCATCACCTTTAGCCATGCACAAGCCTTTCCATAGTGCTCCGCCTTCATCCCCAACATAAGCATTGGGGTCCAAGCCGCGACCAAGGACATCCTCGGGATTGAGTCCATGTTCTTCTGCTATCGTAGGCAGAACCTTGTTCACTGCCTCATCAAATTTTACAACCATCTTAGCCACGTTGTCTGAATTCTCTCCTGGCTTGGGAGCAAATAGGCTCACGAGCTTAACATTTCTTCTTAAAAGGGGGAAGTATGTTGTCATTTCCAATTCGGAAAAGTGTTTGGCATGACTTTCACACCCATCTAAGCTGACAGGTTCCTGCACAATGCCAAGAGTTATGAGGGCTGCTAGTTGGATTTTCTGGCGGGAGGACAGGATGACGTAGTTTTCTCCCACTTCAAGGATCAATTGGCCGTCTAACCCTCTTTTGGCAAAGTCCTCTTTCAAGACACGAACGGCTTCAATATCAGACCCCCCAGGCCTTGTAGTTTGTTGGACTTTCTGTCGAAGGTATTGGATGTGGCGTTTGTTGCTATACTGCACAGCTACGTCGATAACCTCCTCTGCAGACTTATCACTTAAAAGAGCCTCGCGTACCGCATCAATTTGAAGTTGACCCGGGGTGATGGTTGGACGAACACGCAATACATTCTTAATGTGTTCTTTGTCGGGTTTCTTCTCACGCACTATGGGATGACAGGTGTGGCGACCGACATAAATGACTACCATTGTTTTGTGACATCTGTCATTTTCAATATACTTGCGCGCAGAACACTGAAGTTTTAACGCTACCGTTTTACAGTGCGTGCATGTCTTCTTTCGGGTGAAGTCCGCTTTATTTGTTGCTCGGTGAATTTTCCTGAACGAGCATGAAAGATTGGGACACTCCAAAGAGCCTTTACATAACTGTAATGTGCGTCTTCCACCAGTACAAAATCCCTTTCTTGGACAAGGTTGAGTAGAGCCCCAGTTCCAGTTATCAGCCACCGGGGACAAGGGATCATTTTCATTGTACTCAACCTCAAATTTGGCCAAACCATCGGGAGCTGGAGGGACTTTCTTAACAGTTTCACACTCCATTTCATCGATTTCATCTTGATTGAGATAGGTCCTGCTGCCTTTCTTGATAAGTACACCGTCCCTGAAAAAATATAATATGTTATAATAATAACTACTTATTAACCTAGCGCAATGTCTGTATGTACATATAATAGGTTATATACCGTGACCGAGATGTTCAGGTATGTAAGTGTTGATATGTCGCATAAACAGCGAGGTCTAAGGTATATACCCGACTTATATCATTGTTGAGGAGGTTACAAACAAAGTTCTGACAATTCCAAATACTTTCATTTGAGATTTTCCGAGATTTCTCCAGAAGTTTAATTTTAGGAAACTGTAATTATTTATTGAAGGTTGATAAGTTAGATATCAGCCGCAACACATCAAAGTCAACCGAAGAAAACTCCCTTGTTGGGAATTTGCTTATCCCACTCCTACAATCCGCCATATTTTTGAGATCAGTGAGGAGGTCCACCCTTAGATCATAGCCATGAGCCCACGATATTTGATGAATTTTAGACTTCATTAGTGCGTTCCTTTCCCCGGGTGTAAATAGCCGGGCGGAATTAGTACCCTCGCCCCGACGCCCTGGGCTTACGCCCGGAACGGCGCTCCGCGCCGTTGGTTCGAGGACAAATCTTTAATTTTCCTAATAGTTCTCCGTATGTTCACGGTCGGACGTTTGGGCCATCAAACAATGTATCGCTACAGGTCAAGGTCAAAACTATTTCCGAATTTTTGGACCAGGAACTGGTCCCCAGACGCTGCTGTTGTGCTGTTGCTGTTGTTATTGGGAGGGGGTGACGCTCTTTGAAAAAAACCTAAGGCTCCGCCAATTCGCGAGAGATCGCCGTAAAACTTCACGCAATAATTCTAAGGGTAAAGGGACATTCCTCATGGACTTACGGAGTTAAATTTTTTATTAGCTGACGAAGTTAGATTTTTGATGTTTCAATCTTTAGGAGATTTAGAGGCAATTTTAGGAATGTGAAATCAAAGGTAACAAACAGGTTAGAGCATAGGAAGCCCAAAAATACGTGTTGAAATATTTACCCTCGCGCGTGGCGCTCGGGCATGCATCGAGTCTACTCAGTTTATTATTATGTCATAACTAGAAATACATGCATGCAGTAACCCCTCGCCAATATTTTCCAAACATTAAATTAACATGAAGTATTCAGAAATGGCCGACACTGAACGCAGGCTCGCGCTCAAGTGTTGCCATGACAACACGATATCTTAAATTATTAATTTTTTCATATTTTTGTACAAAACTGCAAAACAGTTGAAAGATTCGTACTTTTAACTATACAACAATAAATTTCCGAAATATATACTGTAGGTATATTATTTTGCATTTTGTGAGCTTTGATTTAATGTAAAATTTAACTTGAAATGCTTCGTGAAATTTTTGAAATGTTCATTCAACTAAACTACATTTGCCGATAAACTGTTTTACACACAAAACAAATTGTTAGGTAATTTTAGTTCAGTCTTCAAATCAATTTGTTCAAATTAAACGGTAATTTATGAAACTTAGAGCTTCGTTGAAAAGGAAAACAGTTCATGTTTTTAGTTAAAGCTAAAGCAACAAAAAGTTAAAGCAACAAAATTCAAAGCAAACTTGCCATCCCTTACGAAAATTTCCTATAGGAATTCCTATAGGAAATCAAAATTCCTATAGGAATTCCTATAGGAATTGAAAATTCCTATAGGAATTCCTATAGGAATTGAAATTCCTATAGGAATTCCTATAGGAATTGAAAATGGTCAAAAAAATTCCTATAGGAATTCCTATAGGAATTGAAATTTCCTTTAGGAATTCCTATAGGCATTGAAAATTCCTATAGGAATTCCTATAGGAATTAAAATTTCCTATAGGAATTCCTATAGGCATTGAAAATTCCTATCGGAATTCCTATAGGAATTGAAATTTCCTATAGGAATTCCTATTGGCATTGAAAATTCCTATAGGAATTCTTATAGGAATTGAAAATGGTGGAAAAATTCCTATAGGAAAAAATATTCCTGTAGGAATTCCTATAGGATTGGAAAATGGCTATAGGAATTCCTATAGGAAATGAAAATTCCTATAGGATTTGAAAATGGTGAAAAAAAATCCTATAGGAAATAAAAATTCCTATAGGAATTCTTCTATGATTGGAAAATGGTGGGAAAAATTCATAGCCTATACCACTATGGCCTGATACATGCATGGGTATAAGAACTTTACTTATATAAAAAATTATACAGATAAATATAATTTACGAAATAACTCCTTCCTACAGGAATTTCTATTTCTTATAGGAATTTATTCACCATTATCATATCCTATAAGAATTCTTATAGGAATTTTAATTTCTTATACAACTACACTATTCCTATATCGTATTTTACTCATAGACATTTATTAATAGAGAATTTAATACTGGGACTATTTATTTTCTAAGATTAAATGAATAATTACCGCAATGTGCGCGACTGACAGACTGGTGTCTAGTTTTCTTGCCACGCGCGCAAAGCATCAAGGGATAGATCA